ATACACTGTATGTATATATATATTCCTTTTTTCAGTGCTGGGGATTGAAGCCAGGGCCTTGTGCAAGCCGGGCAAGTGCTCTACCACTGAGCTATGTCACTATCCCTACCTGGATTATTTTTATTTATTTATTTTGGTTTTTGAAACAGGTTCTCATTATGTATTTCAGGCTGGCCTCAGACTCACCATAATTCTCCTGCCTCAGCCTCCTGAGTGCTGGGACAACAGGTGTGCACCACCATGCCTGCCTTACATGTATTCTTAGTTGATGCTTTTATTTTATTTTATTTATTTATTTATTTTTGGTACCGGAGATTGAACTCGGGTCCTTGCGCTTGCAAGGCAGGCCACCGAACGGCTGAGCTAAATCCCTGGCCCCAATGCTTTTATTTTTTTGAATGCATTCTCATGAGTGGGATTGTTGCATTAAAACGTTATCTGTAATTTTAATTGTAAATGAAATATCCAGATTGTTTTCCAAAGAAAATTAACATTTTTCATTTCTTTCAGCAGTTTATGAAAAAATCCTTTTTCCCTGAATTCTCAGGTAGATATAATGTAATAAATTATATTATCTCAGGTAGATATAATAAATTCTCAGGTGGTAGATATAATGTCATTTAGGTCTTTGTTAATCCATTGGTGTAAAATACTGTAAGATTTAAAAATTTAGTATTGAATTTGACTATCTATGTGTATTTGGTAAGCAGTTGGATTGGTTTTTTCAGGACCTTTACCTACTTTTCATTTTGGTTATTTTTGTTAACTTGTTTACTTTTGTTATTGTCAGTTGCCATGAACTGGTATGGTGTGGTTTTTTGTTTTGAATTTTCTGTTTTGTTTGTTTGCAGTAATGGATATTGAACCCAAGCCCTTCACAATGACCTTTCTTATTTTTTAATTTTTTTTTTTTTTGGTACTGGGGATTGAACTCTGGCCCCTGCTCTTGCAAGGCAGGCAGCGGCACCGCTGAACTAAATCCCCATAGATCTCACTAAGTTGCTAAATTGCCCCACGGGACTCAAACTCAATTATACCCTCCTGGCTCAGCCTCCAGAGTGCTAGGGTTACAGGTGCGCACCCTTCTACACGTTTTTGATATTAACCCTCTGACCTCTAGTATGTCTTTATTTTTACAAATGCAGTTTGTCTGTGGGCTTTAGGGTATATTTGAGCTTGTGAAAGTTTTTAATTTTTGCATAGTCATCTTTTATGTAGCTGTCTTTTCCTGTATGGTTTCTAGATTTCCAGTCTTATACTAGTGTTTAGGAAGAAAAAAAAAACACATTAAAGGCACATTGGTACCTCACAGAAAAGTTTTCTTCTACTCCCGTGCTTGCTTTGCTGCACCCTGTGGACTCCTGCAGAACACTTCCACTTCTCATCTCCCCTCCCACCTGTGAGATGTTGTCTTCCGCGCCCTTCTGCCTCTACTTCTGTGCCTGTGTTTTTGGATTAAGTTCTTTCTTGTCTGCTCATTACTTGACTGTTTTCTCTAAGTATTGTTATTCAATTGTAATTCAGTTGCCAGTGGATTCTTTTTGGGTTCTTTCTTACTATTTAAGCAATGTTTTTGTCTTGATATGAAACATTTTTTTCTTTCATCTTTGAAATTTAGGCATTTATCAGGATGTGCATACGACACTGCCTTTTCCTGCTGACTCCTCTTGCATCTTGCAGAACATTTTTCCTCTGTCTGTTTCTCCAGCCTAGTGTAGCTTCTGTTCTTGTGTTTGATTGCCCGGATCCATCCTCCTACTCTTTGGTCTTTTACCTTGTGATTTATCTTTATATATTTTCTCTCTCTCTCTCTCTCTCTCTCTCTCTCTCTCTCTCCCCCTCTGTCTCTCTCTCTCTCTCTCTCCCGCACACACACACCCCTTAAGGTATTTCTTCCACTTGATCCTCCAGGTTATTTTACTAATTGTTAAAATATAAGAAATGTATATATTTTATTCTGAATAAAGGCTGATTTTAGAGAACCATAACTAACTCAATATTAGTAGTCCTTAACATAATGTAGTATAGTTATGATGATGTTATAAAGCTTATTAGAAGAAATTGTAGTGTAATATACATTAAATCATACTGATTAAAGATATGTATTTTTACTTTAGCTGAGCTATAATATATCTGGGTAGTACCTTCAGGATAAAAACGAAGTTGCTTTTGAAAGAATTATGGCATCAAGAGGTTGTGAAGGCTGTGCCAAACTGGATGCAAATATATATTGTGCCATATGTGTTTAAATCAATTGCCCAGGGAAAATAATGTTACTGCAGAGGACGTCAATAAACAATGTGACTTATCCTATAGCAATGAAGTTGTCTTGTGCTACTGTGTATACAGCTGAAGACAGTACATTATCTTGCTCATGCTTTATAGTACTCCTCATGATTCATAAATATTTTCATTTGTATTTCTTTTTTTTTTTGGTTCCGGGGATCACACTTGGGTCCTTGTGCTTGTGAGGCAGGTGGTGGCACCACTGAAACTAAACGCCCGACCCTTATTTGTATTTCCTAAAGGAAGAAAACATAATTGGTTGGGAAATACTTTATGGTTTAAGTTCTTATAGGACTCGGTTTTGTTCAGATTACTATAAAATGTTGGGTCACTCAATTCAAATGCCAGTTGTCAGATAGGACATAATTAGATGGTATTATTCTAGATATGATACTGCAATTGAAGACAACATATTTTCTCTTCTTATATGATTTTTTTAAGTACCCAGAGTCATTTCTTAGCTTGGGCATTCTTTTCTGGTCAAAAATTCGATTTGCAGCTATACATACAAGATATGCAAACATGATGTACTATAAACATGTACGCATAAAAATAAAAATTTGGAAAAAAGATATACAGTCATGAACAGTCAATTTACAAAAGAAAGATTTTTTTCGAGGACCTAGAGGTTGAAAGCTGTTCCTCAAGGCTGTTAGCTTTAACGTCAATCTTCATTAAAGTTCTGACTTCCCCAGGAAACGAGTGTTCCATAGAGCAGATGGAGCACGTTCGGGGAATGCAGGAGAAACTCGCGCGCTTGAATCTGGAGCTCTACGGGGAGTTAGAGGAGCTTCCTGAGGACAAGAGGAAGACGGCCAGTGATGCCAATCTGGACAGGCTGCTGTCTGACGTGAGTGTGGTTCTTTTGTCTACTGTTCCAGTTTTTTACTGCACTATAAATAAAGTAGCAGTCACTTTAAAACTCTGGAAGTATAGAATTCAGGGATTTTTCGTATATCCGTAGTGTTGCACAGATGTCACCAGTGTCCAATTCTGGAACATTTCTGTCACCCTTGAAGCACGCTTGTACCTCTCAGTCCCCCTCCCCCGTTGTACCCTCTGCCTTTACAGATTTGCCTCCCTCCCTGGGGACATCCCTACCAGCGCAGTTACACTGTCCGTGCCCAAAGTGCGCTCTTTCACTTAGCATAGTGTTTTCAGGGAATAGCCATGTTGTACTGTATTCTTTTTTTCAAAGAAATATAAGGAAGTTATCATACTTACATCTAATCTACATACTTTCAGAGTAGTACTGGCAAATCTTAAAAGGAGATATCTGCTTCGCTACATATTATGTATGTACAGATATTATAGATTTTATATGTGTACAAATCTTAAGATTCAGAAGCTGGTAATCAAAGACCTTTTGCCCTGACATGACTCATACACTCTGTGTTGTGTACGCAGATGGAGGTTACTTATTTTTAAACACAGAACTGTGCCTGGTATTTCTGCTATTGGATGCGTTGCCACAGTATATGTTAGTTGGCTACAGCTGCCGTAACCAGGCCACAGAGTGGCTGGCTCAAGGCAGGAATTTATTTTCTCACAATTCTGGAGGCTGAAAGTTGGAGGTCAAGGTGTGGACAGGCTGGTTTCTCCTGTCCTTGGTTTGTAGGTGGCCATCTCTGCGTTCACCTGCGTCCTGTTTCCTCTCTGTGTAAGGGCACAGCTCACAGTGAGTGGGTCAGGGCCCACCCCGTGACCTCGGTCTGACCTAATTGCCTTTCTGAAGGCCCTGACTGCAGCCACGCTCACACCCGGAGCTATTCTAGGTGAGGATTGAATCCTCTGAATCTGGGGTCACGCGCACACACTTCAGCCTACAACACCCTTGTGTAATTGTTAGACTCAGAAGTGTTAATTAAATTTGCCTCTTTAGATTTGGGGGGTACTGGGAATCGAAACCAGGACCTTGTACTTGTGGCATCACTGAGCTATATCCCTGGTCGCCCTGTAAATCTTTTTGAACCAGAAATAAATAAAAATTGAGTTCAACACACTTTATTTGAAATCTCATATTTACCCCCGACTGACAGAAATGGTCAGTTTCTGTCACTTTTTTATCTTTTGAAAAAGAGTACATGTGAGGGAAATTGTATGTTCATACTTTTAACATTTCAAGCCTATATTTTGTCTTTCATAATTAGTTTAGTCTTACAGTTATTTCTTATAACAGTCTGTTTTATCCCCTTTAACAAATATAAGGCTTATTTCCTAACATTTAGGAGACGAACTGTGGTATGGTTGTGAGAACATTGATTTTGAAAGCAGAAAGCTTTATTTTTAAGTGTAGAGCTTACATTTGGGTTTTTGGCTTATACATACTGTGTAACACTGAACAATTAGTGAACTTTTTTTTTTCTGAGAATTGAGCCCAGAGCCTTTGCACTAAGCCATATCTCCAGTCCTTTTTTAATTTTTAATTTTGATACAAAAATCTCACTCAGTTGCCCAGGCTGGTTACCATTTTTGTAATGCAGTGTTTTCCTTCTATAAATTGAGGGTTGCTATGATCTGACTGCTGTGTCCTCCCAGAGACCCTGTTGAAGTCCTCACCCCAAAGGTAATGGTAGTAGGAGGTCAGCCTTTGGGAGGTTATTAAGTTGAGTGGGATCATAGTCCTGCTCAGTGCAACCCAGGAGGGACCCCTAACAGCTTTCTAAGTTATGACGACACAGCCAGCAGGCACCATGATGTGAACCTGGCAGTGGGTTCTCCCAGCCCCCAAATCTGCTGACAGCTTAATCCTGGACTTCCGGTTCCCAGAACTGTGAGAAATGGATTTCTGTTGTTTTTAAGCTACTGCAATATTTGGGGGGTTGGGGGTGTTACAGAAGTCCAAACAGAGTAAGACAAGGGGTGATACATTGTACTTTATTCTGAAAACTGAATTGATATGTGAAATATTTTTGTAATTCCTAAAGCTTTCAAAGATTATGATCATTAACATGGCTAATTTTTTAAAGCTGTTATTAGAGGTTATTGTCATTATGCATGGTTTTAGGGGTATTTACATAGCACTTAATTTTTGTCATCATCTTAATTTTCTCATTCTTGTTCTGTAAATGCTAAAATTGCTTTATAATTATTTTGCAAAAAGTAATTTACCAGCCTGGAAAGGGTTTTTTTTGTTTTGTTTTTTGGTACCTGGGATCGAACTCAGGACCTTGCACTTGCAAGGCAGGCGGTGATACCACTGAGCCAAACCCCTGGCTAGCCCGGAAAGGTTCTGAACATTTTTTTCTTAAATTTATTTTTTCTTTCATGGGCATGCTGACACATGCCTGTAATTCCGGCACTTAGGAGACTGAGGCAAGAGGATCACCATGAACTTGAGGCCAGCCTGGGCTACATAGTGAGTTCAGGGCCAGCCTGAACTGCATAGCGAGACCCTGTCTCAAAAAAGAATTTTTTTTATTTAAAGAAGGCTTAAATGAAATACTGTTTTAAAAGTCATAGTTAACAATGTATAGTTAACATTGACATGCTTATTAAAATTAAATAAAATTTTTTTCCTTCTGTTACAGTTAGAAGAATTGAACTCTTCTATGTATCCTTTGCCTGTTATCAATAGTGAAAAGTTTATAATTAATAATCCCCAACATATTTTGGAAAGATGTTTATTCAGATACAGTGAGCAGACATATAATGTTATCTTTAGGGGCCATTGAGAGATGATGATTTTCAAATGGAATTTTCTCATTCTTTTGTGTGCTAAAATTGTATTTATTTCCTTTTTTTTTTTTTTTTTTTTTTTTTTTTTTCCTGGTTATTTTTTTTTTTTTTTTTGGTACCAGGGATCAACTCAGGACCTTGCACTTGTGAGGCAGGTGGTAGAACCACTGAGCTAAATCCTTGGCCCAAATTGTGTTTCTGATTAGCTCTTTGCTTTGTATTATTTTTGACTTTTAAAAATAAATTTAACTATTTTTTAAATCATAAGAGTTGAAGATTAGGCTTTTGCTATAGAAATTATTTTGAATCTTAGATTCTGACACTAAACTGGCATTTGTATATGCAGAAATAATATATTTAGTTGAATATCATTACTTGGAATATTTTAGATGTATAAAATTGAAAATTAGGTATCACTAAAAATACAACCTAGAAAAGATCTTATATAGCTTATGAAATGACATTTACAAAATTAAGCATGCTAAGTTTATTATAGAATTAGCATAAAGGAAAATAACAAGGCACATATAGAATATTCTGGTTTTGATATTTCAGTCTAGAAAAAGTATTTCAGGAACTTTTCCAAAGGTACTCTTGAACATAATGATAGTTACATTGTTAGGTACATAAGAACAGTAGGAAATTATCCTGGCTATAAAATGTTAATTAATTTACGAGTTAAAATATCCCCTTTAGGGCCAGGGATGTAGCTCAGTGGTGCCGCACCTGCCTGGCAAACTCAAGGTCCTGAGTTCAATTCCAAGTACCGAAAAAAATAAAGTATCACCTTTGAACCAGATAGTAAAATAGGAGGAATACTGGCTATAGAATAGATATTGTTTTTTTGAAATTTGATTCCACGTTTTGACAGTGTAACACTCAGCAAATTGTACAACAGCTCAGAGAATTCTCTATATTACGGGGAGCTGGGCATGGTGGCGCACTCCTGTAATCCCAGCACTCAGGAGGCTGAGGCAGGAGGATCACTGTGAGTTCGAGACCAGCCTGGGCTACATAGTGAGTTCCAGGTTAGTCTCAATTACATAGTGAGACCCTGGTTTCAAAAAAAAAAAAAATCTATAATACGGGGAAATTGCTACATGTATTTGTGAAAATTTTCAAATTATATGGAAATGTATACATTACTATTATTGCCATTACATTATGTTCTGGTATTAATTGCTCAATTGTGTAGTAATAACAAAAACAAGGAGGTAGCACAGCATGGTGGTACACACCTAGAATTCCAGTACTTGGGAACCAAGGCAAGAGGATCATACATTTAAGATCAGCTTGAGCAGCATAGTGAGACCCTGTCTCAAAGAAAGGGGCAGAGGAGAAAGAAAGAAGTTGGGAAGTATTTACAGTTCCAGTAATAGTGGTGAGCAGCTGGCCTTTATGAATACTCAGTGTCTTAGTTACTTTTTTGTTGCTGAGATGAAATACCTCACACCCAAAGTTAAAAGAGGAAAGGTTTATTTCAGCCCACAGTTTGTGGAGGTTTCAGCCCATAGCTGGCTGGCTCCCAGTCAGATGGCATGGCAGAGAGCATCATGGGGGAGAAACAGTCCATGGCAGGGCGGGCAGGAGGCAACACAGTAGTAAGCAGGGAACCTGCCTTTCTTCTTTTCCTCTTGTATTCCATCCAGGTACAAGCCCATTGATGGGTGCCACCCATTCCCAGGTGGGGCTTCCATTACCCACACCCTTAATCCCAGCATCACACCCTTAATCCACATTCACACACGCTAATCCAGCCACGTTCGAAACTCCCACCTGGGACCTCATGAGGCTTTGGGGGACATCTAGATACAAGCTGTAACACTCACTATTCACCAAATATTGTATGAAGGGCTTTATATACACATTATTCATTTGGTCCTATCTGAGAGTAGGTGGTGTTTATTCCCTGTCTTAGTTACTTTTCTCATCGATGAGACAAAATACCCAGCACCCAAAGATAAAGCAAGAAAGGTTTATTTAGCTCACTTTGTAGAGGGTTCACTCCATAATCAGCTGGCTCCAGGGCAGGGTGGCATGGCTGACAGGAATTGCAAAGAGGAGAAACTGTTCGTGGTGGCCAAAAGGTAGCGAAACAAGCAAGGGGACCGCAGCTCTTTCCACCCCTTTTGTCTTATCCAGGATCCTGAGGACAGGTAGCGCTCACCCTTAGTCCTGGTGCCTTTGGCCCTAGCACTGCACTGAGTGTCAGTTCCAGTGCCACACACCCTAGACCCTTTCACCTCTGAGAAAGCCCCACCTAGGACTTCATGAGGCTTTGAGGGGACATCGAGACACAAGCCATAACACTCCCCATTTTGCAGATGCGGAAAATACCTTTTGAGAAGTCACATTAACTATGGGGAGAAATTAATGTATCCTTACAAGAAAAATTTAAAGAAGGGGGCAAATTTTGAGTTGAATGGGAACTTTTCATGAAAGTAGTTCTTGGTTCTTTACTCCTTTCACGATATTCCTTCTGTGCTTAATATTCAGAGTATTCTTATGACACCTACGCATCTCCTATCCTCTTACACGAGTTTTTGATAAACATTTAGACTTACTACACCACTTTCCTGAATTTAACCTGGTGGAGTTTATCCACTGCACGCAGGGAGGCATGGGATGGTACAGAGTGTGAGCTTTTGCACGCTTGGTTTAAAATCTTGGCAAGCAGATGTGTACACTTGAGCAATGTCTGACAGCTTTGTTTCCCCACCTGTGATAAATGTCCTCTATGTATTTAATCTTTCCCCTCCTAACTGGCCTCTCTGTCATCACTGCCTTTGTTATTTCAATCTCCAAGAATATTTTAAAATCCCTTCTCTATCCACAGCAAATGTTGATAATTGGTTGTGCTCTTTCTGTTATTAAGCTTGGACATAGACATGAAATCTGCTTGTATCACTTACCTGCAGTTGTCAGTTCTGCTTTTATTCTTCCTTCATCCTCTATGCTAACCCAGGCCCTTGTCACCTGATTTCATAGCTGCTCAATTTTCTGTTACAACATAGGGCTTCACTGTTCAGTATGGAAGATCCTAGCCACACAGCTGCTGAGCACATGAAATGTGATGACTCTGAATTAAAATGCGCAAAAGCATGATAAGCACACCTGATTTCAAAGACTTCAGATGAAAAAATTTATCTTAATTTTTATAATAATTACATGTTTAAATTGTTTTTAAAAATATATCAGGGTAAACAATATAAAAAAGTATTATTAAAATTGATTTCATACCAGCCATGGTGGCACACACCTATAATTCCAGTAATCAGGAGGCTGAGGCAGGAGGAAACTACCAAAGTTCGAGGCCAGCCTGAACTACACAGCGAGACCCTGTCTCAAAAAATCAAAACAAAACAAAAAACATAAAATTGGTTTCACTTATTTTTCCTTTTAATATGGCCACCCCAAATTTAAAAATTATGGGCCGGAGATTTAGCTCAGTGGTTCCGCCGCCTGCCTTGCAAGCGCAAAGACGCAAGTTCGATCCCCAGTATCAACCCCCCCAAAAAAAACAACAAAAAAAACAAACCAAATTTAAAAATTATATCTGTGACTGCGTTTCATTTCTATTAAACAGTATGCCTTTAGACTTTAGATAGTGCTACTAAAGTAATATTCCTAAAATATAACTTTGGTCTTGCCATTTTATTTCATGCCAATTTTTAAATCCTGTTGAACCTTCTAGTCTTTCAGTAGTTTAGTCACACCCTATACATCCTGTTATTCTCAATCCCAGTAAGCTTGTGTTTTGGCTGTCCACAAACTCGTGATGCTCATTCTCATCTTTGTGCCTCTGTTCCGGATGTGCTTCCTGCCTAGCATTCTGCTCTATTCCCCTTTTTCCTTATCAAACTGCACTCAATCTGAGCTGACCACTTCCATAAAGTGTTTTGCGTGTGCCTTAAGCCAGCTGTGTTATTCAGCTTTCCTTTACTGTAACAAAATACCTGAGTTAGATCAAATGAAAAGAAGAAAGGTGCCTTTTGGCTCACAATTTCAGAGGCTTTAGTCCATGACAGGTTAGCCCTGTTGATTTAGGCCCGGGGCAGCACAGTGTATCATGGGGAGGAGGTAGCAAGGAAACCACTCCACCTCCTGGTGGCCAGAAGTAGAGAAACAGGAAGGGAATAGGGGCTCAGTGCTCCTTCAGGGGCCTGCCCCAGTGACCTAATTTCCTGTCACCAATACTCACCTCTTTTTTCTGTAGTTTGTTAAGACAAAGTCTAACTGCGTTACCCATGCTGGGCTAGAACTCCTGACCTCAAGCAGTCCTCCTGCCTCATCGTTCTGATAGCTGGGGCTACGGCTGTGCCCCCTCCCTACCTTAAAGGTTCCACCACCTCCTCAGAGTGCTACAGGCCGGTGCCCCAGTGGATCTTTAGCATATTCAAGATCCAAGCTGTAGAAGTAGCAATCTGCCTTACTTGACTATCTGTTGATTTTTACATGTGTAAATCTTGTCCTGCCCTTTGAACAAGAATGCTTTTGGTGGTTGTGCTCATATGTGCACATTTTTCCAGGCTCTACCATGCATGTATTACTAGCATTTAGCTGCTCTCACTGTGTCACGGTTTGAACTGGGTCTTGAAAAATAGGCAATGCCTGGATAAATGTGTATGTTAAAGAGGAAAATGAAGGATGATGAAAAAGGAAGAGAATAACATATGCAGGAATTCCGTTCCATTTCTAGTCTCTGTGTGTGCCTGTGCATGTGTGTGCGTGTGTGTGTACACATTATTGGGGATTGAACTTAGGGCCTTTGCACTAAGCTACATCCCCAGCCCTTTTTTATTGTTGTTGACTGATTGATTGATTGATTGATTTTGAAACAGGTTCTTGCTAAGTTGCAGAGTGGCCCAAGCTGAGCCTTAACTTGCACCCTTCCTGCCTCAGCCTCCCAGAGTGCTCTTATTACAAGCGTGAGCCAGTGTGTGGCTGGAACACAGTCTTAAGTCCGTGATTTTTTAAAAGTCTTCTAGTTCTAGACATAGTACAATTCCCTATGTTTAAAAATTGTGCTGCTGTGTCCAAGTGTCTCGATAAAACAGCAGCTTTCCCTTTGAGCGTATTTCTCTTCCTTCATTCCCTTTTTTCAAATACCTCTGCCTTTTGATTCCTGAGTGTAATTTCCCAAAATTTAAAGGAAGTGCTCATTATACAAGGAAAACCTTCTTAACTGATGACTTCGGACAAAAACTGCACTTGGCGGATGCACAGGATGCGCCAAGCTCTTCAGCCAGCTGAACTGAAGTGCGACCCACGTTCCTGGATCCGCAGCAGCAAAGCTGCGTTCTTCGTCCCCAGCTGAATCCAGTAGCGGGAATCTTCGCGCACCACAGGAACTACAGTAATTAAAGTGCAAGTCCAACTGTCATCTGCTTCTAGTAAGTCCGCTTGCTGTCCTGCACCACAGGTGAGGTCTAGGCCTCTCCGGCCGTCCATCTGGAGATGCCGTGCGGGCTCCCGCTGCTCACTTCCTGCTGTTGCCTTATGGGTTCTACTTGAAGTGCATTGTGCTCAAAGTGCTCGCCAGGGCTGCAGGCCGCACCCTCCCTGAGCCGCTGATACCCCAGCGCAGACCCTAAGTTGACACTGGGTCGTAGGCTTCTTGTGGCAGCTCAGCTTCTGTTTACCTTAGACAATCAGCACACGCGCAGGTGTGTATTCCAGTGGCCAGTGACGACAAAATGTTAAATGAGTATCTTGTAAGATTTGCTATTTTTAATAAAGTGATTGCTTTAAATTTTGTCTTTGTTGCCTCTGGAAATCTGTTGAGTCTTCAACCTGGGAATAGAAGAATTCAGTTCTGAAAAATGCACTGTGTAGAATGTGAATCCTGTAACTTCCCTGCAAAGTTTGTACCTTTTGCATACTTAAAAGACTGTACTGAGAGAGCATGAGATGTGATCAGAAAACACAGTAAATGTTTCAACTTTTAAAATATTTCTTACAGCTAAAGACACATCGCCTGGGTTCCCCTCAGGATCTTCCCGCTCACTCTGAACACACTTACCCCATGGCTTTTGGCACTTTCTGAAGCAGTTGTGGACATCCTCTTCCCAGAATGCCTTCTGTTGCGTTGTCATGGCTGCCCCAGTGTTCTGAAGCTAGTCAGAACCTTACCTCTCAGGGTCATTTTGACCTGAGGGACGAACCAGAAGTTGCACAGTGCCCGATCTGGCGAATAAGTGGACGAGGCAGGCAGGCACCGTGGTGTTCACAAGCCTCTTTCCTCTGGATGGCACTTGGCAACGCACTCACTGTACTTTTAATCACAGTTCATAAAAACACAAAGAAACTTCCAGGGCTGCTTCCGAAAGTGGCAAGAACCACGGGATCACTGTGTTCAAAGTGAGCGGAGGTGATGTGAGGGGGTTAATGGCAATGTGTCCTTTACTGTAATGGACGTTAAGAATCTGGACATCCACAGTATATATTGATCACCCCATACTTAGACCTTGATTGGACCCTTCATTTGGACATGTACATTTACTCAGCTTGATTGTGATTTTTGATTTTTGTTTTAAATCTAGAAAATGAGGTTAAAAACTACCTGGGTATATGAGAAGTAATTGACAAAGTGCATGTAGGATGCTTAGCACAGTAGCGGATAGCAATACACTTAGCAAACATTAGCTTTATCTTTTGAAAGCACTTTATTAAAATTACTCGTGACATAAAATTTATCCTTTTAAAAAAGTCTGTAGCTGGGCGTGGTGGCGCACACCTGTAATCCCAGCACTTGGGAAGCTCAGGCAGGGGGTCGCCATGAGTTTGAGGCCAGCCTGGCTACGTGGCAAGGCCCTGTCTCCAAAAAAAACCACTAGAGTTCAGTGCTGTTGGGCTTGGGATTTGGCTCAGTGTGGGAAGCCAGCCATGGCCCACTGGCTTTTTGAAAGACAACATTTGTTCCTTTTTAAGGACTGCACGTGTTAAACTTGTTTTGACCCTGCACGGGAGAAACTCGGACAGCCCCGAGGGCCGGGCGAGGGGCGTGGGAGGCGGGCGAGGCGCGCTGGGACCGCTGTGCAGAGTGCAAGCGTCCCGGGCTGCGTGGACCAGGTGTTGAGGCCCGTGTGAACTCTCGTTCCCGTGGAGCGGGTGTTGAGGTTACTATGGTGATCCTAGCCCATAATAGTTCGGCCTTTCTCTTTAAAAGGCCGGTGCTTGCCAGTAATAAACGTCGCCTTGATCAGACTCTTGTCTTGGCGTCCTTCCTTTCTCTCTGCCCCATCTCCACCCCGCTGCTCTTTCAGGTTTGAGGCACTGCGGGACAGTGCTCTGCGTCGCCGGTTCGCGACAATCCTGGCCCAGATATGATCTGAAAAAAGCTAGATAAGAAAGTGATGAAGGCCTGAGGCTGGCACCCCAGAAGGTAGCCTGCCGATCACCCTGGAAAACAGACACCAGCAGCCTCTTTTCACACAGCAGGTCAGGAAAATCAAGGTAATACTTTCCTGGAGAAGGGGAATTCAGAATGGCTAGAGTGCTGGAAAGCCATCTCCTGACCTCTGGAGCGACGGGTGCCCTAGTGTGAGAACATTACACCAAAGAACTTGTAATGTATGAAATGAAAATATATGGGGACAGGGATTTAGCTCAGAAGTGCCGCCACCTGCCTTGTAAGTGCAACAGTTCTATCCCCAGTACAAAAAAAAAAAAAAAAAAAAAAAAAGATTATATATAATAGTGTTGTATACCCATCACCATGAGTTAATCCTTTCTTTTTTTTTCTTATGGTGGTGCTGGGACTCAAACCCGAGGTCTTTCACATATAGGCAAGTGTTCTGCTGTTGAGCTGTGTACTCCTCCCTCTGACCTGATTCCAGAATGTTTCCATTGCCCTCACCCCCACACCTCCCAGTCCCTGGCCATCAAAGTTCTGCTTCTGAGACAGGGTCTCACTTTACAGTTCAGCCTGTCCTTGAACCCACAGCATAGCCCACACTGGCCTGAACTCTTGGAGCCTCCTGTCTCAGCCTCCGGAGTGCTGGGATCATGGGCATGTGCCACCAAACCAGGCTCAAAGTTGTTTCTGTGGGTTTTCTCTTCTGGGTATCTTAATGAAAAGAAGCATACAGTAAGTGGTTAAGTGGCTTATTGCTACTGGTTTTCTTTATTTACCATATATCCTCTTTAGTTTTATTAGCATGTTTGTGACACACAATCCCAGCTGTCGGGGGGATTTGTGCACAGCACATGACATTTGAATCACCCTTATTTCCCTTCCCCCCGGCGCTCCCCGTCCGCCTCAGTGTATACCTCTGGCCGGGCTGCATCCCATTACGCAGGTGCGCCACATTCTGTTCATCTCTTTGGAGCTCAGTTACCTGGGTGCTGAAGCAGACATTCCCGCTCTGGCCTCAGTGTTTCCAGGCTACAGAAATAAGCACCTAGTTGGGACCAGGAGGGTAGGGACTCACCGAGTAGGAAAAAAAATCTTGATATTGTAATATTTGGTATTCTGGATTTAAAGAATGTTGGTTAATTGATTTAATTGGCTCCCTCCCTCCTCCCCTCCTTTCCCTGCCTCACCCTCTCTCCTTTACCACCTCCCCTCCTTTCTCCCTTTTCTCTTTCTGCTAGGTATCAAATCCAGAGCTGTACCACTGAGCTATAACCAACCCCAGCCCCGACTGGTCACTTTAATATCTCCTTTAAAATTAGAAAGTCACCGGAGCATTATATGTAACATAGAAGACTCATTTCTTTGAGAGATTAGAGATTTAAGAGGAAAAACAGGTTTTCCAGGGCAGAAGAAAACCGCCACGTTGTTCTTGGATTGGACCTGAGATACTGTAAAGTGTAGTGGTGTTTCTGGTGGGTTAGTGACAGAGCAGCAGACAGGTAATCATTTTGATTAATATTAATATATCCTAGGTCTGCATACATTTAATCATATATTAGCTGCAATATTTTTGATACACAATTGGCAGCTTTGAGATATATAGATAAATATCTCTCTATATATATTTTTTGTTTGTTTGTTTTGTTTTTTGTCGCGAGCCGCGACGTCAGGATCCTGCCAGCAGGTCCTAAACCTGAAAGGACGAGGACAGAGACGGGAGGCACCTTTCTTCTCATGTTCCTTGCTTGGTTGCTTACTTTATTGCTTGCTTTGTTGCTTTATTACAGAACCTCTTCCTTTTATACTCTCCAGCTGCATGCGAGCGAGGGCTGCACGGGAGCGCGGGTACCGCCCACACATTCCAGAGGGAAACAATAACAACCATTATGGGTTACATCTGCTACCAGCTGAACTCACCCGTGGCTATGGGCGAGAGCACGTCTGTGCCAGCGAGGTGACTCAAAGTTCAATCATGGCTAGGCCTGTGTCAAGGCTCACCATAGTTTTTGAGACAGGGTCTTGCCATGTAGCCCAGGCTGGCCACGAACTCACAGTTCCTCCTGCCTCAGCCTCCTGGGATCACAAGTGTGCGGCACCACACCTAGCTAGCTTTGGTATAGTTCAAATACTAAACTATCTCAGTTTGACCAAGTGAGTAGATGTTCTCTTTTCCCCGGTTCCTTTTATTGGTTCTGCAGATTAGTGGGTTCCGTTCCGACATTCTACATGCACACACACACACTTTGATCATTTTAAGCCCGTTAGTCCCTGCTCTACCCTCGCCCCTCTTTTCATGTTTGGGGAAGTTTCCACGTATAGTTTGCTCTTTACATCCCCCTAGTGCCACCCTCCTCCTCACTCCTGCCCCGTCAGTAGTCTCCCTTCTACTTGTCATGTTTTAAGATTCCACCTGTTAGGAGAACATGGGATATGCGGTTGACTCTTGCTTTTGCTTCTTTGTGGTTTGCTGATTTTTCATTTTGTTCTGTTTGGAGACACTGTGTTGCACTCTCAGGCTGGCCTGGAACCCCTGGCCTGATGCCGTCCTGCCTCAGCCTTCCTTTGGAGTCCTTTGGGACTCCAGGCCAGATGGACAGTTTGTATTCACTCGGGCCACTTGTCCTTTTTGTCAAAGAACCCCATGTGAGTTCCAGGTAACAAAATCTCTATGGCGAGCCATTATGGTGAGCCTTGACACAGGCCTAGCCATGATTGAACTTTGAGTCACCTCGCTGGCACGGAGGTGCTCTCGCCCAAAGCCACGGGCGAGTTCAGCTGGTAGCAGATGTAACCCATAATGGTTGTTATTGTTTCCCTCTGGAATGTGTGGGCGGTACTCTCGCTCCCGTGCAGCCCTCGCTCCCATGCAGCTGGAGAGTACAAAAGGAAAAGGTTCTGTAATAAACCAAGCAAGGAACTTAAGAAGAAAGGTGCCTCCCGTGTCTCTGTCTTCGTCCTTTCAGGTTTAGGACCTGCTGGCAGGATCCTGACGTCGCGGCTCGGGACTAATCTCAGTTTATCTAATTTGTATCCTTGTAAACTCCTTACACATGCTAGAGGCAATCAGAAAAAAATGACCCTGGATTAGAAGAAAACTTTATTAGGATGATATTTTACATAGATTTTGTATTTTCATCAGAAAATTTTAATTGCTGATAATTTTTAAAAAACAGCAAGTCATTTAACCTATTTGCATACAAGCAAACTTTTTAAACATGTTTAATTTTTAAAGCTCATAGTATCTGGCTTTCTAACGTGCATTTCCTACATAATGTGAACATCTTTCTAGGGTGATAACTATTATAAACGGTGTGTGTGAGGGAGAAACAAAAGGCATCACAAGGAATGTTCAGGTCATTCTGACCAGAACCATTAGAATGTACTTAGAAAGGGTATTTTTTGTTTTTGTGCCTCCCGTATTCTGCTAAAACTGGCAGTTATAAGTATTAAGATTTGCTGAGGATTTCCATGATAAAGAATAAACACCTGTACCTTTCGCACCACACAGCCTTAAAGCTGGTGCTTTTTGGAGACCAGACCGCAGCTGGCTCGGTGTCCCAGGCCCTCTTGGGGCCGCAGGTCGTGCCTGGGAGCCCTGCTCTTCGCCTCGCAGGGCTGCGGGGCTTCCGAGGCAGGGAAGAGGCCGCGATTCGGCGCGGGGCAGGACTCAGCCAATTTTTTTTTTTTTTTTTTTTTAAGCTGGCTCGCCTTTCCCCGTGCGACCGACGAAGGGACAGCGTCGCCTAGAGCCGGGCCCTTCGCCGCTCCTGGACGTGCAGCCCTGGGCTTCTGAGCGCTGCCGGACTCGCAGGCCTTGGCAGGTGCAGGGTGAGTCTCACCTCCTGCGCAGCACCCAGGTGGGTAGAAAGGAGGTGAAGTCTTGGACTCTTTGTGAGACACTTCGGTACTGGGGATCAAACTTGGGACCTTGCGCTTGCAAGGCAGGCGGCAGCACCACTGAGCTCTATCCCTGGCCCCAAGAATCTTTTAAAAGATACCGACGGTACTTATTAATAAATGTCGTCTTATTAATAAATGTCGCCGTGGGTATCAGAACAGAATCTCCCATGTCGTTGGTATTAAAGTTCACTGCGGCCCCTGCAGTTGTGTTTAAGCCGATCTGTTCTTCAGGAACCTGACCTCCTGTGCTTCTAGGGAACCTTAGAGATTACTTTATAAAAACAGTACTTTCATGGGCCGGGGATTTAGCTCAGCAGTTCAGTGGCCTGCCTTGCAAGAGCAAGGACCCGAATTCAATCCCCGGTACCAAAAAAACCACAAAGAAACAGTACTTTCAGAAGGTCAAAGTAGGGGTGGGGCTTGACGTTTTTTAGGGCAACCATAGCAGGTTACTTTTCCTGGATGAATTTGAACAGTGCAGTTGCTTCTTGTTTGTTAGGGCTTTAACGCTGTAGCATTAAACAAATCCGTGAGCACATCTAACATGTGCTACTGTGTTTCCTGTCACCATCTGTGCCCTCAGTGCACCGATTTCCTCAGAATATGCCATGAACTACTCTCTATTTCCTTGTTTCCTCATAAAATACGCACTGGCTTGTGTTCAGAATAGGCTGCTTTCACAGCCCTGAATGGAGGGCAGGTAACTGGCATCGTCCGTATCTGTTTTGTCACTACTCACACTTTTCTTGTACACTAGTTCTTTTCTGCAAGTTTTAGAACCAGACAATCTCTGGAGAGGCATATTTCTAAGGAATTAAATTTTAGGTAGTAAATGAACCATTGAGTAATTTGCACGAATTGCAGAACTACTCCAAGGCAGGTGCCAAAGAACAAGCACTTCGTTTTTAGTTTTCTACGTTACTTGGTCCACAGTAGTGGAGCAGCACTAGACTGACTTGCGTTTCTCCAGCTGTGTTGACAGATCACCCCTGGAAACAGTCTGCTGACAACATGGCTTTTCTCATTTATCCCAGCAGCGATATGTGCACTAGCTATTGCCTCACCATCCAATCCTTTAATCTAGGTCTGGTTATTGTGAATTTTTTTTTTAAAGTTTTTTTCTCTTGACCCTCACACTCAGCACGATGCTTTATCTCTGGTCACCAAAATGTCTGAGTTCTTCCCACCAACAGCTGATTCTCCAGCAGCGCCCACCTGGGGGCTTATTATGTGATTCAGTGCTGGCACCTAGAGTTTGGTGTCAGCTCGCAGAGGGCGTCCTGTAAGATGCCCACCCCATCAGGTACTATGTCACCCAGCCTTCTGTCATGACAGACACGCATGATGTCAACTCATAAGGAGAGGAGCATTCTCCTGGTCCAGTTTGGAGGTTCCAGTCCATAACTGGCCAGCCCTGTGCTTTGGGTCTGTAGCAAGGTGTCCCCCTGCGGCTGCAGTGCGCAGTGGGGCAAAGCTGCCCCCCAGGAAGCAGCTGAATAAGGTAGAGGAGGGGGTGGGGTCTCAGTCCTCTTTGATTCGTGGACCCTAAAAGGCTCCCACCAGCCCACACCTCATACAGGTTCTGCTACGTAGCTCCAAGCCGGAGGAGGCCTTGAACACTCAGGCCTGTCATTTAAGATCCAAACTGACAGGTGCCAACCACAGGGGTGAGGTTAGGATTCATGCTTCTGACTGGCCAGCTATACTGGGCTTCCCTGACGGCCTTCTCGATTTGATCTACTCACTGGAATGCCTTACAGAAGTCTGGAGAAACGTACATGTACCCTTTTATTATGAAGGATGTGACCAAGGATACAGAGAACAGCTGTATGAAAAAGATGCACTGGGAAGGTACGCAGGAGGGGAGTGGAGCCCTCTCCAGCCACCTCCGTGTATCTGAAGCCCTCAGAACCTCGATTTTTTGGGTTTCTATTGAAGATTCATAATAGAGTAATGGCTGACTATATCTCTGACCACTGACAATCAACTCAACCTTCACCCCCCACCCCTGCCTTCTTTCCCTGGAGATCAGGATGTGAAGCTAAACAAGTTGGATCCCTGGCAACCAGGCCCCATCCTAAAGCTATTCAGGAGCCCACTGAGAACCAACTCATCAGGATAAAAGATGCTCCCTTCACCCAGGATTTTCCAAGAGATTTAGGAGCTCTGTGTTGGGAGCAAGGGTCCAAAACCAAATATTAGAACAAGAGACTCTTCTAGCATCCTATCTTCAAGAGTTTTAGGAGCTCTATTATTGGAGGCCAATCAATCCTCCAACCTGCCTTGAATGGGGGGTGGGGGCAGCGAGGGCTAAAGAAAGACAATAGAGACATAATTTCATAATACATGGGAGGCTGGGAGGTCAGTCCCTCAGGGTGAACAAAGACCAAGACACTCCGAGCTAGCCGCTATTTATAGAGTGCATACAATAACCAGAGGGAGTATGAGGTGACTTAGAGGGCCATGGTAATCCTATGTTGATGAGGATCTTATGCTGGTGAGGACAGTGAGGTGAGCAAAGCATTCTTACAATAGTGGGTAGGAGGAGATAGTAGGCTAATAAGGAATCTGTCCTTTCCCCTGGTGAAAACTTTGTCTTGTTTTTATTACTACTCAGTTCTCAAAGAACCAGGATGTCTTCAGCTGATGTAATCTTGCCTTTGAGAGTTATGGTACCACGGGATCATTGAGGCCTCAACTTGTGACCAGAGGCAAAACAGAGTTATGTTTCCACATGCTGTAGTCAGCTGTCAGGCAATAAGGCATTGGGCCTTAAACAATCCTAATCATAACTTAATTATGAAGTGATTTTTCCCAAATATTGTATAGAATGGCCTCTGACACGCTGTAGCAGGAATGCAGGACAGTACTAGTTATATACGTACATGTAGTGTTTGCTTTGAGCCCACACACAGACAGACACACATACAGATGTTCTCTTTGATCACACTCATCCCACATTCTTGCCACTTTCTGAAGCAGTTCTGGAAGTCCTCTTTCATGAGTGTCTGTAGTAGCACTGCCATGGCTACCTTGATGTGTCTGGCATCTAATCCAAACACATTTACCTTTCATGGCCATTTTGACTTTAGGCAACAACCAGAAGCCACACCATGACAGACCTGATGAACAGCATCATTCTCCAAATATTTGACCGCATCTCACAAAGACAGGAAAGAGGACTTTCAGAATGGCTTCAGAAAGTGGCAAGAAGCAAAGCCATGTAATTTGAGGCGGGGGGTTAATGGTAATATGTCCTTTACTGTAATACATTTTTAAAAATTTCAACATTCACTTTATATTTTGATCACACCAAGTATTTCTCTTTTCTTTCTTTGTTTCTTTTCTTTCTTTCTTTCTTTCTTTTTTTTTTTTTTGTTCCAGGGATCGAACTCAGAATGTTGTATCTGTGGCACCACTGAGCTAAATCCCTGGCCTGACTCACTGTGTATTTCCTATTATTTCATAACACTGTAAGTTGTCACACAACAGACTACCCCACCGATCTTTTTTTTTTCTTTTTGTTGAGTTTATTGGTACAATCTAGTTACATTGGTTCTCATTTTTCCCCCTTGTCCCTGCCCTCCCTTCACCCCCTCTTCCCACCCCACCACTCTTATCTGCCCTTTTTTGCTATTCATAAAGTGCTACCGTCAATTGCCAAGTTCTTCACCAATATATCGGTTCTAAAGGAGAGAGCCACAAAATAGAAATTACATTCACACTTTAGAGAAAATTCAGTATAAAACTAGGACTTTTGGCTTGTGAGACAGGTGCAGCATCACTGAGCTAAATCCCAGCCCAAATTCGGTATTAATTTTTAAGCTTGGTAAACAGGTACTACCTGTGGGACCTGGAATGGCTTCTTCACCATGTTTTTCTCTCCTGTGGTCTAATTTCCAGGGTAGGTGTGAGAATTCAATAAACTTGTGTATAGAGAAGAGATTTACAAGCCCAGTGCCTGTCAAAGTGACCACAAAGATGAAATTGTTAAATACAGCATTTATTACACATCCTTCTTCTCATTTGGCTTTGTTATTTAGTATATTTTTTGGATCCAGTTACAAATAAATCACAGATTGGGGACTCCTATTTCTTTCCCTTCTTGTGACAAATATGAGAAACATTTAGAGCCTTTCTTTTAAGTACTAGAGATTAAACCCAGGTCCTTCATAAGAGCTGAATTCCCCCAACCCCCTCTTTTGAGAGAGGATCTACCTAAGTTGCTAAATTCCCTGGGCCAGGCTGGACTTGAACATGTCAATCCTCCTGCCTAGCTGTCTTAGTCACTTTCCTCACTGCTGGGACACAAACCCTGACACCCACTCCTTGAAGGAGGACCCATTTATTTTCCTTTCCATTTTTAGTCCGTAGTTGGCTGACTCCAAGGCAGGACACTGTGGCAGAGGGCCATAGTGGAGGAAAAGCTGTTCTCATCATGACAGCCAGAAGCAGAGAGGGAAGAGGAGGAGCCTGGGAGAGAGGTGCACCCTATCAGGTGGCATCCCCGGTGACCACATGCTAACATCACCTCTAGCTACAGTGCCCCTATGGCTTAATCACCTTTCAAAAGCCCTGCCTATGGCACATGAGGCTTAGGGACATTCAGATATAAATCAGAACACTGGAGAAGCCCTTTCCTTACAGAGTGAAATAACACAGAGGCTTCCATTTTTCATCACCCACACTAGAGTTCAAAAGTTGAAAACAGGGATGTTAAATGAGACAGCAAGATGGCGCTCAAGACCTCTCCAGTCCTGACTTGACACATTGTGTAAGACAATGATAACTCCCAAATGACCAGGGAAGGCTTATGTAGACTAGCCTTTGAAAAACAGGACCCACAGAAAAGATGAAAAGCAAATGGATAAGATTATGGTTTTGTAACACTAGGGTTCTGAGTCTCTCTAGCTATTAGAAAATACTGGTCACTCCCCTATTGCAAACATAATTTACGTTGTTTTGAATTATGTCCAGAATGAATTCACATCTCAAATGAGTATCTTAAAATACTTCCTCCTTTTAAAATTTGCTGAAGTCATAAAAGAATAATCTGTCAAATCTATATATAAATTCAATTCTGAGCATATTTTACTAGAGAGTTTCTTTAGCATAATGATGGACGTTACTATTAGGATCACAAGTTGATAAATGTAGTTGCGGCACAGTTGTCAAATCCTAGTAATTGGTGAAAGTTTTTTTTTTTCTTATTTGTAATTTGATTTTCAGTGCTTGGATTTGGAAAATTGGTAGATGTATGTTTTTGACCCTTTTGTGTGGTTATAATAAAATACCCGAGTTGGTTAATTTAGAATTCCAGCTACTTGGGAGGCTAAGGCATAAGGATCTCAACTTTGAGGCCAGCCTGGACAACTGAGACCCCTTCTCCAAATAAAAAATTAAAAAGTTGGCACTGATTGATGTAGCTTGGTTGAAGGCCCTAGATTCAGTCCTCAGTACTGCCCAACATGAAAGAACAGAGCTGGGAACTCCAAGATCAAGGTGTCAGATGAGTCTGGTGGTCTGGTGAAGGCGGCTGTATGCTTTCAAGATGGCGCTTGCTGCTGCATCCTCTGGAGGAGAGAAATGCTTGGCCTCACATGGCAGAAATCAGAAAAGCAAGGGAGCTGAATGCTATGTGAAGTCTCTTTCAACATAGGGACCCTCTCTACCCACAGAGGAAGGCATTCTCATTACTCACCTCTGAAAAGCCTCACCTCTCGTTACCCTGGCTGTTACATTTCAGCACCTGAATTTTAACGGGAGGGGACTCACTGAAACTATAGCAACACGAACAGTTATTCATTTACACATCCAGCACACACGTGTGTGCCTGCTCTGTGGCCAACATTATGTGGTAGGCAGCTTCTAAAATGCCATCCTGTGGCCTTAGCTTCGTTAGTTCGTGCTCTTTTGAATCTTCTCCCCTTAAATGTAGGCTAGACTTGCTTGTAAGGCAGGGAGGGATTGGCAAACATTTTCGGTAATGGCTCAGATAATAAATATACTGTATTTGGCTTTGTGAGCCATATGGTCTTTCTTTCCATTCTTCAGTCTTGTTGCAGTAGTATAAAAGCAGTCACAGACAATGCATATAAACTGTATCACTGTGTTCCAGTGATGCTTTACTTATAAATCAAGTGGTGGGCCAGATATGGCCTGTTAATTGTGTTTGCTGAGCTCTGTTCTGTTCTGACTAATCAAAAAGTGGTGGTAATTCACTTCTGAGATTACATTACTCTGGCTTCCATCTTGTCTGCCCTCTCTTGCTCTTTTGCTTATTCACTTGAGAGGAAGTGAGTTGCCATTTTGTGAAGTAAACTATGGAGAATCCAAGTTGGAGGCTGTGGCTAACAGCCAGCAAGAAACTGAGGCCCTTGCTCCAGCAGTCTGGGAGAAACTGGATCCTGCCAATAACCCCTTAAATGAGCCTGGAAGGGAGTCCACTTTTGGGTGACTACAGTCCCATCTGGCTCCTGTGAGGGACTGTGAGAGCTAACCTGGCCTACACTCCCAGTTCACAGGAACTGTGAGGTTATCAGTGTCATTTTAAGCCCTGATTTCTTTTTTTGTTTTTGCTCCAATCAGGGTATTTTATTTTCTTAAAGTACACAATCTTTGACTTTCATATGGTCTCTTTCCTCTGTACATCTCTTCAAGTCCTTGGCTGTGATTCTCATTGACCTTGGACTTCTGGGTACTGAGCAAAGAGTGAGAGAGGAGATTTGGCAAGGGCTCCCGTGGTGCCTCCCATCTCAGCAGCAGAGGTTCACACTTACACACAGCCCCAGGCCAAGGTCCTTTCATGGCCAATGTCCTTGGGGCCTGTGCAAGAAGGCCCAGAGTATAGGGTCCCAGCAGGCCTTCCTCAGGCCACAGTGTGGGCTGTGCCTTCACAAGAGTCATAGCAGCTCCCTGTCAATCTCAGGCTTGAGGTGCGCAGGGACCTTGAGGGAGGAGGAGGGCACCATCTCTCTCCTACCCTTCCTTTACTTGGCAAAGTCACAGATAATTTACACTATAAATGCTAAGACATTTAGCTATTGTTCATTTGCTCCTAGGTGAACAATCTTCTTTAAATACATCACATTTATTTTTCTTAAATAAAACAAAGCAGAAGCAAGGCATGGTGGCTCATGCGTATAATCTCAGCTCCTCGGAGGCTGAAGCAGGAGGATCGCTGTGCATTTGAGGCCAGCCTGGGTTACATAGTGAGTTCAAGGCCAGCTTGCACTGTATAGCAAGATCCTGTCACAAACAAACAACAAATAAAGCAAAAGTTGCACTAATAACAACAGGACATAGCAGAGGCTTGTGTACAACATGTGCCCTGTGAGGCTGGTGCAGAATGACCATTTGCCCCAGAACTCTTTGCAGCAAAGGGCAGAATCTTCTAGATAACAACTTTTACACTCAGCAAGCCAGACACAAAAAGGACCGCTTGAAAAAAAAAAAGTTTTGAAAATCCCGCATTTAAAAAGAATACTCAACTGCATTTTCTGCCTGATTGGTTAGGCCCATCTAGCAGGTGTCCCGTGTGGCATGTAAGTTTCACCACAGGCAAGCGGGCTGGGCCCGGCTCCTCAGCAAAGGCCGCTGTCCTTCAGACTGTTCCGTCCAGTGACGTCGGTCACTGCATCAAGGACGAACTGGGTCTCCCGTGTGGGTGGCGCAGGTGAGGTGGGAGTAGCTCCCCTTGGTCCATCCGTGTTGTGGGCCTGGTCCTCGGGAGGCAGACGCTGAGAGGGACGCGTGGATCCCTCAGTCAGCAGGTGCTTTCTGTTCAGGAAAAGGATGAAGCAGTTGCAGAAGAGGCAGAAAGGTGCACTCCTGGCCATCGAGGCGCGCTGCCGTCCTCCTAGAGCTTCAGGCAGGGGCTGGGCCTGTGCTGGCAGGCACAGTAGGAGTGGTGGAAGGCAATGTTCGGGGCAGCCTGGGCCCGGCTGTCGTGGTCAGCGGGCGGATGGCTTTGTGGATGAAGAGGTGCTGCTACTCCCTGCAGGCCTCCAGGTCTTGATCTTCATCTGCTTGACAATGGTGGGAGCAGGGGGACCTCAGGGCCTGCCTGCCACTGGCTTTCTGAGTCCAGGTGGGCAGGTGGCGGCCCATTCTCGGATGGCCTCTTTCTCTTTGGAGCTGGGCAGACCCCTTGGCCGGCAGTGGCGGGCCGGAGCTGCTGATTACAGTGTCAGGTATATGGATGTAAACAAACAGGCCCCCCACTCTCGCAGCGTCCTTGGCTCACAGGTTTAAGCCCACAGCCGAGTCGGCAACTGTTCTCTCCATCAGACTCAGCTCATGACATAAGCCAGCAATCCCTTAGCACAGATAATAGTAATTTATGAGAACTTGCTAAATAAACATCCCTTCTGTTAGCTCTCAGGGGGATTTCACTTAACAATAGCTGGGTATCTTACACAACTAAGGATTTGTTTTGATTTAGTGTTGCTTCAGAGGGAGGCACATCGTTCCCTGCGTGGCCATGAGGGTTTTATCTGGACAGCACATTATTGAAATGCAGTTTGCCAAGACACATCACTGCCTTCTTTGACACACAGGGACCCTGAATCGCATATAAAGCTTCAGTTCTGGGAAGTCGGAGCAAGAATTCAAATCCGGGGGTCATTCTGTCATGCTGCCCTGCAATAACACTTCCAAAATCACTCCTAAATATGCCACATATCTTTGCAGTGTGTTCACTTTGAACATGTGTATCTGTCGCACTGAGGTGCCGCAGAGGCCCTGCACATGTCTGATTCTGGGATTCTGACCCAGTAGCTTCTTCAGCTTTTCTGAGCACTGTCTCCTCTTCTTGGAATTTATAGCAACAGGAGGTTGCTAGGAACAACTAAATTCTTGTTAGCTAGAAACACAAACAGTGGCCCAACTCGAGTCTTATTATCTTCATAAAGGACACAATCTCCCGAGACAGCTAGAGCTGGGAAAATGATTCTCTCCCCACCACTTAGACTGAGTCAAAATCTTCCCTCTGACATCATTCTTTGTTCTTACTTTTGTCTTCTGGGCATTCATCAACCATGTGTCCTTGTACCTATTTTACAGAGAGGTATATAATGTGAGAGCAAAGCCACTTTCTGTATTTCTCTCTCTTCCTTTTTGTGCTCCTCCAGCTCTTCCTCCTCCCCTTCCCTCTTCCTCTTCTTCTGGAACCCAAGGACACTCTACAACTTAGCTACATTCTCCAGCCTTTTGATTTTTGTTTTTGTTTTAATTAACTTTATTGGTATACTTTAGATATATGTAATGATCACATTCATTATAAGGAATTTGTACCTGTATACAGGGTCTCACTTTTTATAGGTTGCCTAGGATGGCCTTGAGATCTTTTCCCTTATTAGCTTTCCCCTACCCTTCCCACTTTCCCTACACCTTTAGCCCCTTTCCTCCTATTTTACACTGTCTATTATAGGATCTTATGTACTATTATAGTTTTTCACACCAGAGAAACTATTCGGTATTTACACATGTGTGACTTATTTATTTCACTTAGGAGTACATCCTCAACATGTATCCATTTTCCTATGAATGACTCTAATTTCTCATTCTCTATGGCTGAGTAATATTCCATTTTATAGAAAAACCACATCTTCTTTATCCAGTTTCCAACTGATGGGCAAATGGGCTGTTTCCAAGTTTTAGCTGTTACAAACTGCCGCATATCTTTATTTTCTTTTTTAAAGATATTATTAATTTTATTGGTACATTTTAGGTTTACAATATGATGACATTCCTCATTGGGAATTTGCACCTTTACATGATCCATCTTGGTTCTTATTCTTTCCGCCATTCCCCTGCCCTCCCTTCAACCCCTCCACCTGTCCCTATTTACCAAGTTTTGTTTCCCTTTTTTCATTTTTCTCATATTAATTCCATTCCCTTCTTTCCTCTCCCCTGCCCCTTCCACTTTGCCTTCCCCCTTGCCCCTTCTTACTCTCTCACATTAAGGAATTCTTTATTTTCCACAATTCTGCGGTTGGCTGCCTTCGGCTGGGCAGTTCTTTGCTTCCTGTGTTGTGGCTGGGGTGCACCTGGGAGCTTGGTGGAGAGGCCAACATCTGGATGACTTCATTTGTGCATCTGTGCTTTGGGATGGCTGCAACAGCCGGCGAAGTTCAGTCTCTCTCTTTCCACGTGGTCTCTCATGATGCAAAACTGGAAGCTGTAAGACTTCAAGCTATGCCCAGAAGTCATCTGTCTTCTCTGTCATGACACCCTATTGGTTAAAACAGGACAGGTTCAGGTGGATGGAAAGGAATGCCTCGGCCTCCTGATGGGACACGGTGTGCCAGGCTGGGGATGGCAGCAGCCAATTGCTCTTGGCCTTGCGTACAGGTCAGGCACCAAGTTTCTCCCACTACCCACAGTCTTTATAGTATGGATGCATTTGCTGTCCCCCAGGGTCTCATGCAGTTGCGGAATCTGGCTGAAGCCTCTTGTGCTCTACATCGGGTCCAACAGCAAAGGAGGCTGCTTGATGGCAGCTCTTCTTGCTGCAACATCTGTCAGCCCAGACACCCAGCGCAGAGACCATTTCAAACTTTCTTTTCTATTTTAAGCTGATTATGCTTGCACCAGAACAACCCTCTTAACAACTTGGTGGACTTTGTGAGTATTTAATTGTAATCTATGTCATTAGACAAAAGCTAGATCCACAAGTCTCTGTGAGAGAGGCTGTTCTCAGTCTTGGGCTGTGCATCAGGATGTGGCAGAACAAAGACACTAAGATTCTCAGGAACTTTTATTTTCTAAACAAAAGCATCTATGAAGCATCCTCTCAAAACTTTCCAAAACCTTAGGCCGGGGATTTAACTTGCCTGCCTGACAAGCACAAGGTCCCGAGTTTGATCCCTGGTACAAAAAAAACAAAACAAACTTTCAAAACCCTTAACAAAGAGTCTCATGACCAAATCTCTCACTTGATCTTTGTGCTGAGAGCATTAGGTACATTGAGACACTCTCACCTGCTGGAGATTTTACTAGGTATTTTTTTTATTCCCACTAAATTTTGCTCCCAAACTAAACAGATCTTTCAGATTGGTTCATGCTTCTTTTATTGGAATTTATCATTATGAAGATAAGGAAGCCAATCAGTATTTTCTATACCCTGCTTGGAATCTCTCTAGTTGGGTCTATATATTCATTTATTGGAAATGCTGCAAACGTTACCAGGAACCTCTGCATTAGGCTCTAGTCTCCTGCCCAGTGTACGACAAAAGCCTGAGCTGCGGCGGGGGGCGGGGGGCTCAAAGACAGAACTAAGCGACAGAGAGCTGGGACCAGGATGACCAATGCTGGTGCAACTGACAAAGGTGCTGGCTAGTTCCAGCTACTGATTTTTATTAGTAATCAGTTGGGGTAAAGGTAATCTATGTATGAGGGTGAAACTACTTGTGAGGGTGCACAGTCAGGCAGTTTCCATGGAAACCAATGGAGACAAGGTTTGTAAGAGAAAAAGACAAAGCATTCTTGAATTAAGAACAGAATAGACAAAATCTATGGTTGTAATTAGAACCTTATCCTTCTAGTTAAGAAGGTTTTAATTGTGGGAATGGAATTTGGGTGCGAGTTACTGTGACTTTGGCACATAGGCTTCCACTGGACTCGCTTCTATAAACAAGTCAATTGTGGGGTTAACTCTTTACATCCTGCACTGCTTATAGCCTGCTTTGGGCATAATCAATATTGTAGCCTTTCTTTCTTTCTTCCTTCCTTCCTTCCTTCCTCCCCCCACCCTCTTCTTTCTTTCTTGGTACTGGGAATTGAACTCAGGACCTTGCACTTGCCAGGAAGGTGCAGTGCCACTGAGCTAAATCCCTGGCCCTCATTGGTACACTTTCTATCATCTGTGTACAGACAGCTTTCTGCTGCTAAATAAACTAGGTTGCCTTTCTTCTTATCCTGTCCCAGCAACTTAACTGCTCTTCTAGATGCCACTAAATTATCACCACCCTTTCAATTTCCTCTTGATTCCCAGTGCCACTGACAAGGCCATCTATTTTGAGTTAGGGCAATAGCTTATTTCCACTTGTTTGTTTGTTTTTGTTATTGCTGAACAACAAACCACTCCAAACGTCTTGACCCAAAACAATGATCATTTGTTATTTCCCATGATTTGAGGGTTGGCTGGGCTGACAGGCGACATGTCCTGTGCCAGTGCTGCCCTGATAGCCTCCTCTGTCACTCCCGTGTCCATATGTCTGTGGGTCTGTTTCTGGTCTCATTCGTCTGTTTCATTGGTTTGTCTGCTCTTGTGTCAATATTCTTATTTCATCTTTATAATAAAAGTCCTGATATCAAGTAGAGTAGGTCATACTACTTTGTTCTTTTTGAAATGGTCTTTGATATTCTTGACCTTTTGTACTTTTGGACACATTTTATAACTAGTTTGTCAAACACACACACACAGAGCACCTTTTACATTTTGACTCTGATAAATGTGGGAGAGCTAACATCTACACAGGCATATACTCTTATTTAGATTTTTAAAAATTTCTCTTGATAAATTTTTTACTATTCAATATGGAATATTGGTCCCTCTTTTATTTCAATTGGGGTTTTAAATGCTGTTACAAATGATAGATTGGTCTCTTTTTGTTTGTTTTTGAGACTGGGTCTTACTAGTAGTTCAGGCTAGACTTAAATTCACTTATGTAGCCCAGGCTGGCCTTGAATTCATGGTGGTCCTCCTGCCTCAGCCTCCCAAGTGCAATAGATGGTTCTTTAATACCTGTTTATTATAGTACATAGAAATACAATTGATTTTTGCATGTTGAGTTTGGGTACAGCAACCTTGCTGTTAAATATGCTTTGTTAAATATGGCAATTTGAGGATTCTTTAATATTTTCTAAACATAATTATGCCATTAATAATAACAATTTTATTTGTTCCTTTTAAGTTATTGCACATTTTATTTTATTGGTTTTTCACATTGAAAAGAACCTCTGGAACAATGTTGAATAAAGGTTGTAGTAGCAAATGCAGAAAAGCTTTAATTTTTTGTTCATTTGTTTTCAGTGCTGAGGCGTAAAACCAGGACCTTGCATATACCAGGCAAGTACCACTGAGTACAGCCCCAGCCAAGTTTCAACATCCCACCACTCAGTTCAGTTCTTGCTGTACGTTTCTTGTATATGCCTTTGTTTGGATTAGGAAGTCCTTTTCCAGTCCTAGTTTGTTAATTTGTCATGAATAACTGCCAAAGCTTATCAAATGTACTTTTCTTATCTACTGGAATTATTATATAAAATCTCTCTCTCCCTCCCTCCCTCCCTCCCCCCTTCCTCCATTCCTCCCTTCCTTGATTGTTTTGTTTGAGATAAGGTTTTCTCTCTCTCTCTAGTTGCTGCTGGCCTTTAATTCACTGTGCAGCCCAGGTAGGCCCAAACTTGTGATCCTCCTGCCTCAGGCATCTGAGTGTTGGGTTATAGGCATGCACCACCATGCCTGGCTCTCCGTTGTTAATGATAGAAGTATATTGATTTTGTAATTTCAAATTACACTTGACATGATGTAAAAAGTATCATGATACAATGCTTTTGACATAATGTCAAATTTACATTTCAAAAATTTCAAGAATTAATCCAACTTGATGGTGATCCATTGTCTTTTTTATATATTGCTGGGTTTGCTGTTCTAATATTTGGCAGGACTTTTGCATCTTTATGGTAATCAACTTTCCATAATCCTTTCATGTAAGGTCCTTGTTGAGGTTTGGCATCAAAGTTATGTTTGGGAATCACTCCCATTTTCCTTATTCTCTGGAAGATTTTGAGTGAGATTAGTGTTATTTCTTTCCCAAATATTTAATAGATGCAGAAATTGGTTCCAGGAATAAGATGCTACCATAACAACAACACATTCCAAGTTTCGTGGCATTAACATCAGTCTGACAGTATGAAATTGTTACTGGGGGCCCTGAAAAGATGGCAACTCATGTTATGCAGAGGAGAAGTCTGGGTTTGGTTAAAGGACATAATATATACCTCACAAAGTTATACTTTATACAAAGAGGTAGACAACGAATGTTATTAGACTACGTTCATTAGTACTCACTGCACTTGCAAGGGTGCTACAAGAAATAGTGGACCTCAGACAATCTCAGGTAATATTTGTCTGGTTTGCAAGTAGGAAGGGAAAGGAGAGAGGAGAGAGAGAGAGAGAGACAGAGAGAGAGAGAGACAGAGAGACAGAGACAGAGACAGAGACCAAAACTCAGAGACTTGAAAGGTTAGAAGACCTTTGAGCAACAAGTGCCATGCCACAGAAGCCAGGGATTTAGCTCAGTGGTTTGGCCGCCTACCTCGCAAGTACAGGGTCCCAAGTTCCATCCCTAGTACCAAAACAAACAAACAAACAAACAAAACAAATGCCGTTCCTGTTAAGGACCAAGTCAAGAATATGATTGAAGTACACTGTTAACATCTGTCTCTGAATGGAACAAAGTAGCACTCAAAAAATTCTGTCAGTTAGAAATAATATCTCAGGATTTGGCTCTTCCTAAGGAAGCCTGATAGGCTCAAAATACCTGTAGTTAACTTTATAACAAGAGAGGAAATATCTCTATACAATTGTGGCACACAGCACACTGCTTAGAATCAAACAAGTAATTTTGGATACATTAACAATAAAATGGCACTGCTGAAGTAATCACTAGCATGGTCTAAATCACAAGCATGGTGATTTTTTTTTAAGAGAGAAAATGATAATTAGGTTTTTCACCCTCTGTAGAAGGGCTTCACAATTGATAATCTATCTCTTTAAAAACAGAGTTACTTATTGTAGTTATCCTTTCCCTGTTCTGTCTTTACACACACTGTGTGGGTGGGGGGAAAGGCCAGCTGACTGTCTTTGTAGTACAAAGGTCTCTGGATCAGGAGGAGCCGTGTGTGGACCTGTAGACACTGGTGAACCAGTTGCATCTCCCGAGCTCTGTGCTCAGGATATTTATGAGATGAAACTTTTGAGTTGTCTCCCTTTAGAAACAGGCAAGTGTGTTCTGCATATGGGAAAGGAAGGGGACTGACAGGAAGGGTGACCCAAAAGCGTTCAGGAAAGGCCACCTGATGTTTGACATGCTGATTCTTTCCATCTGAGGGGACTCTGGGAGAGCTCAGAGGCTTTCTCTGCCCTGCCTTCCTGTCTGAAGACAGTCCCGACCCAGCAGGAGCTCAGTTGTCATGAGCTGTTCCAGGAACTTTACCAACCAGGAAGTTTACGACACAGTTTGTACTATGTCCAGACAAATCACCTAGTATTCTGAGCACCAATCCAGCTTTTATAACCTGAGAGATTATTTTAATCTTTAATCTCTTTTCCTCACACTCTTACTCTTGAGTACCACTCCCTTTCAGAAACCCCAGGCTTTCTTCCTTTTTGTAGCTCAGGAGGCTACATAAGCTTCATGTCATGGGCCGGGGATAAGGCTCAGTGGTATCAGCATTTGTCTAGAATATGCAAGGCCTTGGGTTTGATCCCCAGCACCACCACCAGCACCACCACCAGCACAAGAACGAAGAAACAAAACCAAGATGATGCCAACGTCTGAGTCGCTGATAGCACTTCCTGAAACATGGTGATTAACTTCCCACTTTCCCAGCAAAGTGAAAAGTAATTGTTGTTAATCCAGATTTGGATCAAGTTGGATAAATAATAACTGCAATGAATTGAAGTTCACACACTTTTTGTGTACATTTGTGTGGTTTATCATATATTGTAATTCTATGCATAACATATCTATATTGCATGAATTACTGTAATTCTGTAATTCCTATAGAGACGTTAATATGTTAAATGTTTCTAAGTGATCTTAGTGATATGTCTATTAAAATGAACTTGTATCTCCTAGAAGTAGAAGAAAATAATTTGCTGAGATGTCAGGTGGGAATTCTCCACGAAAAACCCTGGAAATGGATAGCTTCCACAGGAGGTTCAGCACCTGGACACCTTTTAGCAACAAGTCATTAAACAGACAGGTGAGTTACATACTCTGCAAAGAAACTTTTGATTGATAAAGTTCATTTTACTGTGATATGTTGAGTCTAGGAACACGCTTCATAAAAGTTTCTCTGTGTCTCTTCCATCCTTCTGTCCCTCGTGCACCCACTGTGTGGTTCCATGTGGCCTGGGGACATCTGCTCCCCTTGAAAGGTAGTTCAGGAAGGAGCCACTGGCTGGTGTGGGGCAGCCCTTTCAGGCCCTGATGTAAAGCAAGGTGGGGTCCCGAGAGCTCAGGCAGTTTAGCTTCCTTCACAAGGGAAGGGGACTGAAGAGGCCTAAAGTCTGACCTATACTAAGGATGGTGAGTCTGTGTACATGTGTCTGCACGGAGATAGAGCCGAAACCCAGGTTTAGGGTACACTGGTCCCTGGTGTCTGTCTTCCCTACAGACACACCTAACAGTGGCATTTTGTAATAGTATTAACTTTCAGTTTTGTAGGTGTCACGAAGATCTGGGGCTGTGGGTTAGAAAGGTCAGGCCTACTTCACATGGTCGGGTTCGGGTTCCACAATTAAATGCGCATAGCTGTATGTGTTTTCCATACAAGACGTGTGGAATCTGTTTCCCTGGGCAACCTTAGCCTAGGTAGAAACAAGCGCCAGGAATGATTGCCTCTTTGTTTCCTCCAAGGCCTTCCTTGGGCCCCTCTGTAATTACATCCCCTCCAGCCTTTCCCACCAGCCCACCTGACAGGCCCCATCTTGTCTGCAGCCCTGGATACAAACAGTTTAAGGCGAAAGGGAGAGACCCCACAATGGAGGTGAAAGCGCTTTGTGAACTGTAATGTACTATGTAAATATTAACTGTGAGGTTGTTGGTGGATTGTCTAAAGATTGCTTAGCAACTGAGAATATGCGGAACTGTACTGCAAAATATCATCTCCCCCCACTTCCAGCTCTTTCAGGAAAGAGTTGCCCTTATAAGTCATTGGTTTGAACTCTGGACCAACAAGCAGCGCCAAGAATTCTTATTCACAATCTTTCTACAATGTACTAAATCACAATTAAGGTAAATGTAGCCTCTTGTTGTAATTATCATTGATTCTTAAAGAAAACAAAATGTAGTAAAATGTTTATATAGCCTTTAAAGGTCTCTTTCCTTCCTTCCTTTCCTAGAAAAAAAATGAAGCCAGTGATATTTAAGGTTTATAAGTAGATTCATTGAGTGCCTGACTTCTTTTAAGAACCATGCAACTTCATTCAGCAACGTATTTCAAGCATTAGTATGGTGCATAACAGGAAGCTTTTGTGCGGTGTACAACTGGGGCTCAGGATGTAATGCCAAATTAGTGTAAAAGTGATGGGATTGGGTAAGGTTTTCTCCAGAGTTTTCTAGCAGCCTGGCTTCTAGAGGCTACAAAGGAACCTGGACTACAGGATAATATTGTCATGTCATTGTGAGTCTGGCATGTGTCTGTAGAAACTTCTCTGTGGCTTCAGCCAGTGAATTTTTATCATTCTCTTGGTTTATTAAATTCCCCTTGGAAATCAGACGGATGATATATTCCAAATGGGCATCTGGCACGGGGGTAGATACTGTGTAAACGATTGTTAAATGGACGGATCTGAAAAATAGCTGAGAAGTGACAACAGTGGCAACCTCTACGGAGGGACATGGGCAAGACACAGCAGCTGCCAGTGACTGCCAGTAGGTCCCTGTCCCTTCCCTCATGGTGTGCCTGTAATTCACTTGAAAATACTTCAGCATAGATCGTGTGACATTTGCGGTTGGAACCATACCTGGGATAACTGGTGTTCCTATCAGGAATTAATACTCTGGGAGTCCTTAGCTCACTCTAGATTGGAAAGGTCACAATGCCTCAGTTATTATCTAGTACTCTGCCAACCAGCAAAGCCAATATCGGACTCCAGTTATTATCGGAGCAAGCAGTGGCTTGTTAATGAGCCATCTAAAAGAAACAGACTCTCTCCGGAAAAATTGGGGGCATGCAAGGTGCCTGGACTGACTGAAATATTCCAGAGAGCCCTTCAGGATGTCTGCATTTGATCGAAGAATGCACTGGGGCTGTAGCAGTAAGGGTGCACCCTGTAAGCATGGTTTCCCGGGCTTTACCCCAAATAAATGATTGTGGGGGAGTCTGGGGGGCTTCTGGTAGCCTGAGGCCAACAATGAGAGTAATAACAGGATGTTGCTTCCCGTCTATTCTCGATCAAATGAATCTCTCACAGAGGTCAGAAAGCAGGGACTTTGTGGAAGGTGTTTGGGCTTATTCACTGACGTTTGTTTAGTAATAAGCACCTATGACATCGTTTGCTGTTAGCTGATTTCACTATAATAACCCCACAGAGAGACTTAACCTTTGGATTTCTTAGGCAGCTACCAAAAAAGATCTGAGAGTTGTGCACGATCCAATTGGCTTTAGTTTGCAACCTCCATCCTACTCTTCTGCCCTTCTTACCTGATCAGACATTTCTTCTCTCCTCCAATGGCTTCTTCCTTTTGTATCTCTGGGCACAACTGACTTTCCTTGGAGGAATCCCTGGGAGACAGATAGCTTCCTGGCTGCAAAGACATCTTACAGAGAGGCAGGCTCTTCAGTTAATGGCTAAAAGTCAGGAGGAAGGGACATTTTATGGTAGTCATTTGCTGTTTCTTTTACTCCAACTTTGCAGCTTTCAAGATAAGAAAACAATGGACTGAAGCCCATATCCATAATCACTGTGCACCAGGCTCCAGTCTCAGGTGTCACAAACCAAGCAATTTCAGTTGTAGCCACCGGAGGTCATTAGAGATCTTGTGTATATTTGAGGCAGTTTAACATTAGGCCTGACAGTCTGTCGCTGGAAATTATGTCCTTTGTCTTGTACCTGAATTCGTCTTTCTGTTGTACGAGAATGTGGAACTAACCTGTTCAGTGAAATTGTTTTGTTTTGTTTGACAGCAGCTGTGTTCCCACAGACAGCAGCGTGTGATTCAGAGTTCTGTGCGGCTGCTATTGTATGGTCTGGGCTGCTTCTTCAGGGAGAAGCTGCTTGTGCATTTCTGGTCTCTAGATTTGGCATCCTAGACCTATGTTTAATTTGTAGTGATGACTTGTTGTTGTACATCAATCAATTCATTCCTCAAAATCTGAGTTGTCTTTTTATACCTCTTTCCATCTCTTTTAGTCTCCTACTTGTTCCAGTAGTCTTTCTTCCCTCGTAACTGTGAATAAGCTAAATAAATAGAAGAAATAAACATCACTTGACTGCCTGAAACACACACACACACACACACACACACACACACAGAGTCCAATCCTTTATTTTCATAGTAGAAAGGCCATTGGTTTATAATTCCCAAGTAACTTTGTTTTAATTCAGATAGTTACCTGTATAAACATGGCATTTCAATATTTGTGGGAAAGATGTCATCACAATTTTCTTCTTAATCTCCAAGACATATTAAGTATCTAAGGCTTTTTAACTGTCCTAATAAATATTCTGTCATTGTTAAATTGTAGGATGATTTTTTTTTAAGCATAAGAAATTTTATTGGAGAACAGGAGTGGGAGAAGGGAATAGACAGAGGCAGAAGGGGTCCTGAATGGTTGCCTTACGATGATTGTAAATGGCATTCTGTGATACCTAAGATAGTTTCCAGATGAGATCAGGTACATTTCAGGTGATACGGCCGTAGATGTGCCACATTTTTCAAAGGTTCTGGCAAATTCTCCTCACCTCAACTTAAATGTCACGTGTCCCTGGACGCCTTCCCGGCCCCGAAGTGTTGTTCTCCCTCCATCCTGGCCGGGTATATTATCTCCTGCCAACATGGTAATGGTTCTCACTGGCGTCTTCCCTCTGCCACTTGACTGGGTTGACCTTTCCTGTGCCTTCTTAAAGGAAACTGCGCTGTTTGTGTCTGTCACACTTGGCAAAAACTATGAGGCATTTCAATCCAGCTCCTTGCCACACTGGTGGGACCGGTTTTCAGTTGCTTCTGCTCAGCAGCCCAGGTGCTGTCTACAAAGGCCTTGCGTTCCAGAGTGGCAGCTGTTGGAGCTTGTAGCTTTGTGGGGGGTGGGGGGGATCAACATTCATGCAACCGCATTCCCAAGCTGAGCAGATAGATGCATGCGTGCGTGCTTGCGTGCGTGCGTGCGTGCGTGCGGTGTTGGGAAAGAGTGGAGTCTTGAGCAGCCCAGGAGGACTTTGCTCATCATTTGTCCCCATTGGAGCAGACTGGAAATGGGGATGAAGGGCAGCTTGTACTGACCCAAGGTATACTGAAGAGAGAAGCCCACCTCACTGCCTCTGTCCTCTCAGCCACTCTTCCCAAACAGTCCCTGGAGGGGCTGCTGAGATCCCTCAGCTGTTCTCTGCTGGGGAAACCGGAGGCGTCACTCTTCAGAGACAACATACCCAACTAGCTTGATTCCGAACACAGCATCATAGCTGCATCTCTGAGTTACAGAAAGTCCATTTGAAAGGAGGTTGTCTCTGTGTGGAGGTGGGGAAGATGTTAAAGAAAAAGATCAGCCCATGATAACTTGGGAAAGCATGGGAAGGGAGGCTGTTTAGACAGACAGGTATGGGGCCCACTGCCCTGGGATTTGCATTAGGGTAGAGAGTTGGGCTTGACTCTCAGTACAATAAAAGGGCTCTATTGTGTGTGGCACACGTAGGGCAACTCACTTGCTCTTCCTGTAGATGTCAGTAACTCTCAATTCCACTCCAGGAAGTAGAAATTTATGGCAAAAAAAAAAGAAAGAAAGAAAAAAGAAAAAAAATTGTAGCCAAGGAGCAGAGGGGAGTGTGTGTCAGTGGATGGAAAATTATTAAGAGGAAGTATCTGGATTGAAAGGGGTTCTGTCTAAAGCAACCAGGCAGGATTCCTACTGGAGACAGGCCAGGGTAGTCAGACATCCCCTGGAGGGTGGTGAAAGATGAGGAACTCGATCGGATATGCAGGATGATCAGATATCCGGGGGTATAGGGTTAAATGATTGAGCAGTGCCCTTTGCTAAAACTGGATTTGACAAGAAAGTGTACACACAGGCCTAGGAGGAAGGTTCAGGAACTCAGCTAAAGTTTGGCCAAGGATCTCTGACAGAGAAGAGAGGGAAGTATTCAAAGATAAACTGTGTCTTGGTCACTTTCTTGTCACTGGGACAGAACATCTGACACCAAAATCGGAAAGGAGGAGAGATTCTTTTTGGCTCACACTTTCAGAAGTCTGAGTTCATGTTTGACAGGCTTAAACACAGAAATAGCATGGCAGAGGGGCATAGTGGAGGGCAGCTGTTGGTGTTAGGGTGACCAGGAAGCAGAAGAGCCAGGGAGGGAGCTTCCGGGTCACGCCCTGCCCACCCAGCTGACTCGCCTCCACCCAGTCCCCACCTCCTACCAGCACCCCCATAATCCAGTCTCCTTCTGACCCTACCTTCTTCCAGAAGATAGAAACCATAACAATTGGTAACTAAAACAGCTGTTTTCTAAATATGCAAGGCAAGTCTGGAAAATTGGGTCATTTTAACTCTTTCTTCTCCGTAGCCCAGCATTCTGAACACATTTTTTCTTTCGTCACAGTTCAGCTAGTGAAGGGCAAATATATGTAGTATTCCCGTTCCTTGTAGGGATGATTCAAGGGGTGCATGAAGCTAAAGAGGAAACTTCATTAAAAACGTTTTTTTTACTCGCACGTCTGTAGTAATAAAGGGTTCCAGTCATTATGGGGGGAGGTGGTGCACGTACGTAACACATCCCAGTTCTTCTTACGTCCTCTTCCTCTTCCCTCCCCCTCATTTCATCTCTTGATCCCCTTCCCGTTTGTAGAAGATCCGTCTCCTTGTTTCCTCTTATCTCTTGGAAAAGAAAAATCCTTAGTTTAAAAGGAAAAGAAAAACCAAAACCGGAAAGCTGTTTTGTTGAGTGGGGGTGAGGATGAGGCACAATGAGCCCAGGGAAGGTCATCGGCCCACACTGGGCAAAGTCCTTGTGCTTGAAGTTCTTACTTCCTATTAAAAGTGGTGCTGCTCTCTCCTTATCCTACTTAACATCTCACTGTAGCACTTAAGGCCGATGGACATGATGTTATTATATATAGTACTTTACTCCATTAGAATGCAGGCCCTAAGGGGGCAAGGACTTTGGTACCTGTTTCTGTCTCCAACACTTATGAGTAATTCAGGTACATAGTAGCCACTCACTAAATGTTTGCTGAATGAATGCAGATATCTAAAGAAATCTTGGTTACAAAAATAGCAAAAAGACAGATGATCGGAAACATTTCACAGAATTTTAGGATGGAATTTTTCAAGATATTAAAAGTTTTAGAACATAAGAATACTAATACTTTGGTACATTCAAGACCTTTTCATTATTTAACTAAGACCACTATAAAGCAATTCCAAAGGGAATTGTGCTTAGAGATAAGACTCAAGGTTATCATACCACACAGTTCCCAGGGCTGCTATTTCATGCCACATCAAATGTTTTTTACTTTCTATAAGATTCACAGATCATTCACTGGAAGATTGAGACAAGGTTTTAGGAAGCCGCTTGCTTTTATTCTGTATCCAGTAGTCTCTTTTGGAGACGTCCAGGGGTTGATAGCAGAATAGACAGGAAGTGGTTGCTTTGACCAAAACGGGCCCAGGGAGTCTCAGAAACAGACGTAGTCCACTTAGTACACAGTATGATTCCAACAGCAGTTGTCGGAGTCCCTCCTGCCCTCTCTAGGTATTCTTGTGAGGTCATGGTCAGCATTTTCTCAAGTACAAGAACCCCCCCCCAAATAAAACAAACAAACAAAAACCCAAAATACAAACAAAATGTAAATGCCAACCAGCTTCAGAAGAAATGGGAATTTACTGACTGATGATTAACTTGTCTAGCAGGTGGCCAATCTCTCTCCTTTCTCAGCTTTGCTTCCCTTATGAGAATTGCATAAAGCTAAAAAGATAAGTGAAGTGTAAGAGCCATAATGATATAGGGCATATGACATGGACTTCCAAATAATATAAGGAAATATTAGATATCTGACACATTGAGTTTGTGTTCTCTAAAATTGAAGAATGAATTCTAGGAATGATGGGGCTTAAGAGAAGAATTTATTGAGAGAAAGATAACTTCTGTCAAAGAGAGACAGAAGAGGGTCCAGAAAATGGGTTGCCCACTGACCCTGCTTCTCAAAGGTATTTTATCGAGCAAAGCCATGAGGTGAGACGGGTTCAAGGTGGAACAAAACTACAGTTAACTAAGATTACAAATGCAGTCAGTAAGATTACAAATATAGTCACTTAGGTAATATTGATCCCATGGGAAACCACGAGGTGGGACAAAACTATGGTCAGCCAATAAGATTACAACAAGTATAGTCGCTTAGGTGATATTAATTAAGTGGGGATCAGACGGAGAAGTAAGCCACGTAGCAAACATACAAGGAATGAAAAAGGAACAGTCTAGGGAGGTTTTAGGCCCCACCCAAGGTGACTGGTAGTTAGATATCAATCACTGCTGTTCATCCCTAAAGGAAGTATGTAGGTGTAGTCATTGCTTTTTTGCTGAAGCCTGGCTTCAAGTGAATATGCCTTTGGCCACAGTTGTCCTCTGTGAGGGCCCAGCCCTGTCTAACTGCCTGTAATATTCATAACTAACTTAGCTGTCTACAATATCGTCAGTCCTCTCCAAATTAATCTTCAAGTTCAATTCCATCCTGGTACAAATCCCCAAATAGGATTTCCTTATGAACTTTGAAAAACTCATTCTAAATCTAATCTGAGCCAGATGTGATGATGCACATCTGTAATTCCAGTACTCAGAGGATGAAACAAGAGGATCACAAGTTTGAGGTCAGGAATATGGCTGGTCACCAGTCCACTCAACCTTTCCACATTCTTTTCCTCCTTCCTGTTTGTTATTACCTGCCTCAGGTGTGGCTGGTCACCTTGGCCCTCCAGGTTGGCTCTGGGGTGGGCTGAATTCATCTTGATAATTGTGTTTCAAAGTGTCTGGTTGCCAAGGAGACCTCAGGAGTGAGCTTCTGGAGAGTTCTTCAACCTTAAAGGGCCATTCAAGAGGCCTCGGAGGGACAGGCTAGCTTCTGGCCTCTCTTGTGAAAATCAGGTCCCCCCCAGCAGTTAACCATTTGGAAACTATCTCAGGGCCAAGAGTAAGGACCACAGCTTGAGAATGGGAAAATGAAAATATGAAGAATCCTTAGCCCGGATGACACACTGAATCCTTAAATTTAATAACCCTGAAGCAGCCCTGATTTTCCTTATTGTTTGAGAAAAGGGAAAGGAAGATAAATAGGTTTAAAAGTGACTCCAGAGTCACTTATTGAGTTGTCGCTTTTCTGGCCATCTCTACTCTCCAGAATGTAACTGGGAACCCAGAAGGAAAACAAAGAACAGTTAGCAGTCAAACAGCAGGGAAGGAGCCCTTCAGACCCCATGCAAGGTCTAAATACTTAACTTAGAGCTTTTGTAGTAAGTGGAAAGGGCCTTGTACAGCGGGGAGGGAGCCCTTCAGACCCCATGCAGGGTCTAAATACTTAATTTAGGGCTTTTGGAGTAAATGGAAAGGGCCTTGTAGTACTTCTCAGCCTCCTACATATAGATTCAGTGTTTTGGACTTAACTTCAGCAACAGCATCAAGCTCTGCTTTGCTGCCTCATCCTTCTACCACCGGGAAGTCAAGGGCACAGGTATGGAAAAGGTGTGGCCATCAGAATCACTCAGAGCTCCATGATAGAGATTTTGGTTCATCTGGGATGGGGAAGAGGAGGCTCTTTTTGTCAAGTCCCTCAGGTAGCATGGTACGCAAAGGCGGCACCCAGGCATGAGTGATCTGAGGGGGCCGGGCTTCTGCCCCCTCTGGATCCTATTCCTTGAGGGAGGCAGGACTGCTGACTTTGTGGGCCGCACCATCCCTTCCCTTCTCGTGCAATGAAAGAAGCACAACTATTGGTCTAGGCTGTGGGTGCTTCCTCCACCTTACCCAACATGCTACCTAGTGGGTTTAGAGTGTGTTTTCTGTAATTAGCCCTAAAATTTACATACATAATTATGGCAACACTTCACTCTCACCCAGTTGAAAATTCAGAGAGATCTGGCTGCAGTTGTGGCTTGTTTCAGTGGTGCAACAAGAAAACGATCACTTGTCACTTGTTTTTCTCTCTCTCCCTCTCTCTCCCTCCCCCTCTCTCCCTCTCTCTCTCTCTCTCTCTCTCTCTCTCTCTCTCTCTCCCTGTCTCTGCTCAGCCTTCAGCAATCATGACTTCATTTTCATGTTTCCTCAGTTACATCTGAGGGAAAAGGAGAGAGTTTCTTTGTTTGGTCTTTACTCTGATTGACTGATTTAGGTTCATGCCGGCTTCTGGCCAGTTGTGGTGGCCAGAGGTTGATCCACGTGAGTTTGTATTCATCATGTGCTTTTTTAGAGCTAGGTATCACAGCATCTTCAGTGTAGCTTCCCAAATAGAAAGTAAGGGTATTCAACCTAAAGTGGGGTAAGTAAATGAGGGGTGGTAAAAGTTAAAGTTTCTCCATTTAGCATTGGGCAGATATTGACTGACTGAGTGACTACTATGCACAAGATCCACTCTGGGTATGAGCCTTAACAGTGGACAGCACATAAAAATTCCTGCCCACTCCAGTTTGTATTGTAATGGAAACAGAGAAGTGGGGACATCCATGCCTGTCACTGGATGTTTGATGTGAAAAGTAGCACCGTGGTAAATACTTAAGGGTGTCTCCCATGTCCCCAAAGCCAGAGTGGTGTGTAGCTGACCAGTGGCCCAGTGTGTCCCTGCCCTAACCTCCAGAATCTGCGGACATCACTGTCCACAGTGAGGGGCCTTTGCAGACGTGACTGAGTGTGGGAAGATGATTTTAGATTATCTGTGTGGGCCCAGTGTAATCACGGGGTCCTTCTGAGAGAGACGCAGGTGTCCAAGTCAGAGGAGCAGGTGCAGAGTGAGAGACAGAGGGAGGGGGTCAGTGTTCAGGGATCAGGGAAAAGGAATGGGGGCGCCATTCCAGAGGATCAGGGCGGGAGTCCCTGGACATGTGACACTTGTGCTGGCATCTGAGGGACGCATAGGACATGGACAGGCAAGACCTGGAGAGGAGAACATGTGCAAGAAGTTGGACCTTCCTTCCTAGTGCATCCCCTCCTTTCTGTCTCTGTTTCCTTCCAGTGCTGGAGATCAAACTCAAGGCCTTGGGCTGTTATATAAACTCTCTACCGCTGAGCCATACCCCTGCTCCTGCCTGGTCCACTTTTAATGTCCAACTTTTATAGATGAGCTAGGAAATGTGGATAGGCAAAAAAGGAAAAGCACCAATAATCTGATCACCCACACACAGCCTTCTAACTTCTTATACTTATGCGCGTCCGTATAACTGTGTGGATCTGATTATGCAAGTTATTTACAATCTTTCTGTCAAAACTATTCAAATATCATTGCTTCACAAAACCACCCACTTTGCTGTCTCATTCTCTAAAGACTTTAGCACCTGGTTCTTCACTTTCTTTAATCCCTAACTCATCGTTATTCTGTGTGACCCTGGCATTCATGTGGAAAACCTACCTCACATCCTACGTGCTCCTCAGATCTGCTCACCCATGAAGAATTTCTACTCCACCTTCTTTAGCCTTTGACTCCCACCATACCTGCACCATATCCAAAGCCACTGGTGGAAGCAGTCCCTCCTCTCCTAATCTATCTGCCCAGCCATCCCCACCCTGACTGCTGTTTGACTCACTGGTTTTCCCATTGCATTTGCTCCTATGTTTTTTCCCAATAATTACTGATTACCCCACTTAGAGGTCATGGCTTCTTTCAGTAATTCTCATTCCAACTCCTTTAACTCCTGTGTATAAGACTCTCTTCACATTTATCACATTCCCCCAAAACCCGAGCCTTGGATCAACCCAACTTTTTCATTTCATCCCTATGCCATAGAGAGTTACTAGATAAAGCCCACCAGCAGGATACATTGTTTATAATAAATTATTTTTCAACTTTATTTTCAAGCATGATCAAAGCTATACAAACAATTTAATAAACTCCCATATAGCCAAACACCCATTCTTTTTTTTTTTTCCTCTCTCTGTTACCAGGGATTGAACTTCAGACCTTGTGCTTGTGAGGAAGGCGGCAGAACCACTGAGCTAGATCTCCAGCCCTCCAACACCTATTCTTAACAATGATCAACTCAGGGGTCATATTATTTCATCAATTTCCTCCAAAGTTCCAATTCTTATGTATAATGTATATTTTAATGCAAACTCAAAATTTTGTCACTTTGTATATTAATATTCCATTATATCTTCTTTTTTTGCTACCAGGGATCAAACTCAGGTCCTTGTACTTATGAGGCAAGCAGCGAAACCACTGAGCCAAATCCCCGGCCCTATATCTTTTTTTTTTTTGTACTGGGGATCAAACTTGGGACCTTGTGCTTGTGAAGCAGGCATTAGAACCACTGAGCTAAATCCCTGGCCCCTTGATATGTCTTTTTTTCATTATTAATTAATATTTCTTAATATCACCAAATATATCTAGTCAGCATTCAGATTGCCTCAGTGATCTCATAAGTTCCTACTTTAAAAATAATTTGCTCAAATCAGGACTCAAATAAGCTTCCCACGTTGCAATTGATTATTGTGACTTAAATGTCTTTAGCTCCACAGGTTCCCTTTCTGCACTCTCTTTTTATCTTCTGTCTGTACAGTTTCCACAGTCTGCATTGTGCTGATTGTAGCCTTCTATCTTCTTCCATTTCCTGGAAATTGGTAGTTTGGGCCTGATGAGGTTCAGAGGTAATTCTTTTCATAAGAATACCTGACCAGTTATGTTCCTCCTTCATAAGCCACGGTTTCCAGGTGACTCTCGTCCTACAGGTCCATTACTCCAGTTACTAACTGGAATACTTCTCTAAAGAGAAACTTCCAGTCTTTACTGATTAGCTCTTCTCTGTGGTATCATTCACACTTGATCTTAGCCAAAAGGCTGAGAAATGATTTTCAGAGGAATTATTCACATGAGAAAGGAAATGTTGACACTGTTGATCAACCTTCTAAACAATAATTTAGTTTTCTATCATCCTCCAAAATTGATCATTGTAGGGCCAGGGATTTAGCTCAGTGGTTCCGGCACCTGCCTCTCAAGCACAAGGACCTAAGTTCAATCCTGGTACAAAAAAAAAAAAAAAAATTAAAAAAAAAAAAAAAAACCAAAGAAAAATTTTTTTTTTTTTTTTTTTTTTTTTTGCACCAGGGATTGAACTCGAGTCCTTGCGCTTGCAAGGCAGGCCACTGAACCTCTGAGCTAAATCCTCGGCCTGAATTTAAATATTTTTATTATAAGTTTAATTATTTTGATATGACTCAATCCATTTCATTATTTTTCTTAGTGGTGTTCATACTGTCCTAAAGCTCTGTGCAGCCTCTTCAAGTAACTCTTACGTTCTCCTGCTATATCTTAGCAATGAACTTCTAATAGTTTCTTTTCCTTCGGGAGTGTCAAGATGTTCCAGGCTTCTCTTATCCTTTTCCTGCCTCAGACTTGGGGTGAACATTTCTCTGAGGAGCCCCTGTACCTTGCGGTGGGAAGTGGTACTTGGAGCCAGGTGTTGTTAGAGAGTTCACAGAACTATGTAGGTTGCACATCATTTCTAGGAATTTTTTTTATGCAGAACAAGAAGCTAACTTTTAAAAGATAAGCCTGTATCCTGAGTTCGTGTCCATATTCACGTGGATGGTGCTTAACCTTTTTCATATTGTTGCTGAATCTCCTTTCTCTCACATAGGAAGCCTTGGTTCCCAGTGACACCAACATAATTACTCATTCTCTGTAATACATGCACAACCTGCTCAGAATAACAAAACTGTCATCACTATCCATGACATAGTTACTACAATCTGTTAAAGCTTTTTTCTTTTCAGTTCTTTTTTGTTTCTAAGGTAGATCACATTTAGGAATTCATAGTCA